AACAGATAGAGCACCGGCCTTGGAGCCAGGAAGATCTGAGTTCAAATCTGGTCTCAGACCAGACAGTTGACACTTACTAGCTGTGTGACCTTGGGTAAGTCACTTAACCCCAATTACCTAAAACAAAAAAAAAAAGAAGAAAAAAGCAGAACACCGAATCTTCTTTTTCTATGCCTTGCACTGGTCTACCCCTGTAGCAGGAATGCACATTTGCCTCATAGAACACTGCATTTGAGACATAGCTCAAGCATCATTATTATCATAATACCTCATGATCCACCCCATTCCTATACACACAACTTTCTAGTAGTCTCCCTCCCAAACTACCTTGTATTTAAATACTTTGCATATAATTGTATTTGTTTAGTTTATATTTATTTCATTTATATATTTTATTATGTTCTTGTCTCCCTCATTAGAAAGGACACTCATTTTGAATAGAGATAGCTTCAATCTTTGTACATATATTCCTAGTGCTAAGTACAGTGACTGTCACCTACTAGATATTTAATAAATACTTCTTACCGATTAATTGATTAAATACCATTTATTTGAATTGTGTCCTCCGGCTAAATAGTAAAGGTAAACACATTAATGGGGGCTCATAAGTTGTGGCTTTCAGTGAATGTTCAGTCACTCACATTCATAATCTTACTGAACCTGAAAAAAAAATACTTGTTTGAGAGATATATTCTTTGAGTTGGGTCATACTCCAAGTTGCTATATAATAATGATTTCTAGTTGCTATTTAGATATCCTTACTGATTATCTGATGCATGAAGTACAATATCAGATTGTGATAAGGGTCCCAGGCATCAGTCAAATACTGCCACCATCACATTGCCTTTTTTGTGGTCTTGGGCAAATTATTTAACCTCTCTAGCCCCCAGTTTCCTTATCTGTAAAATCATGGGTTTAGATTGGATAATTTCAGTGGTCTTTCTCAAGATATAAAGGGATGATCTATGTAAATGTATCTCTTAAGAATAATTCATTTGTTATGCTCAGGGGATGATTTAAAAATGTGTTTGTACCCTCAGTGACTAATATATTGTCTTAAATGTAATAATAGGTGACTGATGGATTCTTGTCAAAGCAGTACAGTGTTAGAACTACAATGTTAAATTTTTAGGGTTTCTTTTTTAATTTAACATTTTATTTTTTCTCCAATTAAATGCAAAAACAATTTTCAAAGTTCATTTCAAAAACTTAGTTCCTAATTCTCTCCCTCCCTCCAGAAGGCAAGCAATTTGATATAGGTTATACATGTAGTCATTCAAAACATATTTCCATTTTAATCATGTTGTAAAAGAAAACATAGACCAAAATAAAGAAAAAAACCCAAGAAATATAAAATAAAAAAAAAGTACACTTTGATCTGTATTCAAACTCCATCAGTTCTTTTTCTGGGGATGGATAGTATTTTTCATTATAAGTCCTTTAGAGTTGTTTTGGATCATTGTATAGCTGAGAATAGCTAAGTCATTTATAGTTGATAATTTTACAATATTGCTGTTACTGTGTACAATTTAGTTCTACTGGTTCTACTCATTTATTTCATTCTGAATCAACTCATGTAAGTCTTTCCAGGTTTTCCTGAGAGCATCTAGGTCATCATTTGTTATAGTCAATAGTATTCCATCACAATCATATACCACAACTTGTTCAGCCATTTCCTAATTGATGGGTATCCCCTAAATTTTCAATTCTTTGCCACAAGAATAGAGTTACTATACATATTTTTGGTAATTATAGGTCCTTTGACTTTTTGTTTTTTATGTTTTCTGGGATGCAGACCTAGTAGTGGTATTGCTAGGTCAAAGAGTATGAATAGTTTCATAGGCCTTTGGGTTGATTCAGTTTATAACTCTAATACCAGTGTATTAATGTCTCAATTTTCCTCTATTCCCTGCAACATTTGTCATTTTCATTTTCCATCCTATTAGCCAATCTAATAGGTGTGATGTAGTACTTCAAATTGTTTTAACTTGAATTTCTCCAATCAATAGTGATTTAGAGCATTTTTTCATATGACTATAGACAGCTTTAATAAGTACATCTGGAAACTAACTGTTTATATTTTATCAATTAAGGAATGGCTCTTATTCCCATAAATTTGACTCATTTCTCTATATATTTGAGAGATGAGGACTAGACAAGAGATGCTTCAATTTTTTTCATTTATGATTGCTAAGTGTATTTCTCTCCATCCTAGTTCCCCCTTTTATGTTCTATCTCCTTTCACACTGTCCCTCTTCAAAAGTGTTTTGCTTCTGACTACCCCCTCCTCCAATCTGCTCTCCCTTCCATGAGTACTCCACCTTCTCTTATTCCCTTCCTATCCTACTTTCCTGTAGGGTAAGATAGATTTCTATACCCATGTATATGTTATTCCTTCTTTGAGCCAATTCCAATGAAAATAAAGTTTGAGTGTTTCCTGCCACTTCCCCCATCTTCCCCTCCACTGCAAAAGCTCTTTCATGCCTCTTTTATGTCAGATAATCTACCTCATTCTACCTCTCTCTTTCCTTTTCTTCCAGTGCATTTCTCTTTCTCATCCCTTAGTTTTATTTTTGAGATAACATCCCATCATATTCAACTCATACCTGTGTCCTTGATCTATATATATTCCTTTTAACTGCTCTAATAATAAAGGAGTTCTTAAGAGTTAGAAGTATCTTCCCATGTACTAATGTAAACAATTTAACCTTATTAAGTGCCATATGATTTCCTTTTCCTATTTACCCTTTTATGCTTCTCTTGAATCTTGTATTTGAAAGTCATATTTGCTATTCAGCACTGCTCTTTTCATCAGGAATGCTTAGAAGTCCTCAATTTCTTTGAGTATCCATTTTTTCTCCTGAAGGATTGTTCTCAGTTTTATTGAGTAAGTGATTCTTGGTCATAATCCTAGTTACTTGCTTTCTCAGATATCATATTTCAAGCCCTCCAATCATTTAACGTAGAAACCACTAAATCTTTAGTGATGCTGACTGTGGCTCCACATTACTTGAATTCTTTCTTTCTGGCTGTTTACAATATTTTTTCCTTGACCTGGGAGCTCTGGAATTTGGCTATAATATTTCTGGGAGTTTTCCTTTTGGGATCTCTTTCAAGAGATGATGGGTGGATTCTTTCAATTTCTATTTTACCCTCTGATTCTAGAATATCAAGGCAGTTTTCCTTGATAATTTTCTTGTGAAACTAGAAATGAGACCTGGCTTGATCACGTACAACTGCTGGTATATAGGACCTCATGGGCACTGCTTACAACACTTGGTGATTCAACTCAGTGGCATATGAGTCACAATTAGCACAGACCTGGAAAATTTATATATATGTAAAATTATATCTGTGCATATATGTGTATATGTGAAAATGAATATACTTGTATTTGCACATGTATGCACATATACATACACACACATATTTAACCCCTATTCCAGAGCCAATTCCTATGGGACTCTCTCTGTATTTGTGGAGATGAATGCCCTGCTATGTATGAGGAGCTCCAGCCTTTTTCAGTCCTCTTCAAGTTTCAAGTCTTCTTCAGGAATCTTTAGGTGTTGAGGCTCGTTGAGCTCTTCTGACTTCTCACTTTGGGTTATAGACACACACATATATGTATGAAAGCTTAATGAAATAATGTAATATTTGTATACACACATATGTATATATGTAGACATACATGCATACATACACACAATACTGCATTAAGCTTTCTTCAAAAATATTTTCCCCACTAGATTAAGAAACATTATCCTCTTACATTAACCAATTGTTTATGTCTAGGTTTTGTGTGCTGAGGACTTGTATTTGTCTGGGATGTGGGTAATGACTTAGAACTAGATTTGCTTTGAAAAGTACAAAATGGCAAATCAGTGGAGATTCCACTTATAATTCTCTTTCTACTTTTTTTTTACTTCAGGAGTACACTTTTCTCAGACTCCTTCATGGCAGTCATAAAAATACACACTGATCTAAATACCCCTAAATAAAAGAAGCTAAGACATACTTAAATGGGTTAATAATGAAGCTCTACGGGGGATGTATACTGCAAAGAATCATTGGGGGCTCTACCTACATCTGGTAAAGTCAGAGAAATATTTAATTCAACTTTTTATGGTCTTTAATGCTGGTCCATTCTTGTCAGACCAGCACAATTCTTCTGTAAATTACAGTGCTTCATAACGAATAGCAGGCAAGTGGATACCGATTTTTTTCTGCTGTCTTCTTTGCTGTTATTGTGTGTAGCTCAAGTTGTAGCTCCAGAGAGGGCAATACATCAAAGTTTTGTGTCATGCATATCTGCTTTGCTAGGTATCTTTTGTGATCCACTGTTAAGTCCTGCACTGTTTTTTGAAACCACGTACATCAATGAGTAGATCTGAGCAATGATTCTGTTTTCTATAGATTTGGCTTAGATTAATGTAAGGGATCCTTCTTGTCTGAATTTAATTCTCAATACTGGGAAAGCTTGCTCAGGAATGGGCATCCTCCTGATAGGCCAGGTCATAAAGCAAATTAGAAAGTGGGTCCAAATTGTTAGGTATGATTAAGGTTTGTCAGCATTGTAGATGCTATCCAAGAATCATTTGTTACCAAGTAAGACTCAGATGGAAAAATTGAAAATCTTTTATTCTAAAAGCTGATTGATATAAGTAAAGTTACAGAAAAGGCCATAATGACAAAGTAGGAAGTGCATATTAGAAGTAATTCTTCATCCTGAAGAGAAGCAATTTGCATAGCGACTGATAAACTCTTTTTGTATTTTGTTTTTTAAAGACAGAATTTTCAAAGTTAGCTCAGGACCAGAGCGGTTGTGATCTCAGAACTTAGAGTTATGTATATGGCTGAATTGTAAACACAATTTCAATCCATTTATTTTTGCAAAGAACACTAAAAAAAATTATAACACTATAAAGATTAAAAAAAAGTTATCATAGTTTGTTCTCTTTTTCATATTATTGACCTAGGAATTTAAAGCTAGGAAACAAAGATGGTTTTACAATCATTTTATTTTTTTTTAATTTTAGTGAGTCAGTTTAAGAAATCATTTATAGGATGTATGCAAACCCCTAAATGATTTGGTAAAAAGAAACTGATGCCCACAATCAAATGACAAATTTCTGAAACTAATCAGGAATAGTATCTTATGGCTTCACTACAAGCATGTTATAATTTTAAAATAATTGTTGCTGGTATTATTGTGTTCCAATTATCCCTATTGATGGAAGCAAATTTCCAATGAGAAGTTTAATAGATTTTATTGGTACATTCACAGGAAGCCTTACAATTTTTCTTGACAATTTGATTACTGCAGGAATATTGCTTTTTCAACTGAGAACAGTTTGAATAACCATCGGTGTGCTCACAAGGATTAGCTGAAATTAAAGCAAACATTGAAAAAAATTCAGCTTCATTCTCCTGCTCCGTATAAGCTATGCCAACCCCATCCTATAACATAACAGATTACCAATTCAGCAAGAAAAATATTTGGCAGAATATTTGGTGTAAAGTACAGAGTATCCACACCATGACTAGAGGGTCACACACATCCCTTCAGTCCCATGTGAAGCCCTTGAATCAAACATGCAGCAGATAAATGCCTTATAAAAATATTAAAGGTAATATATTGACCTTTGCAAAATTCAAGGCAACATTATTACTTAGAGACACATGGGATTTTTATTTTCTTCCATGTAATGTATGGACTAGGCATGGATAATTTAACATTTTCTTGTGGGCCACAATCATGTACATAAATGTTAGCTGATTGTCTGCTTTCATTGTATTTTATTTTTGAAAATGCCCAGAAACTGACTGTGACTATGTGTCTTAATTCACATGGTATAACATTATTTTTCATTGTAACCTGATCATAATACACTGAACTGAAATAATGAGATCACTTAGAACAGTTTGAGTCATCTGTTCAAATGAACTATCTGTAATTGGTCATGATTAAATGGTTTCAATTGATATATTACTCCTCCAAAATAAAAGTTGAAATTGTTTTTGAATCCTCATGGTAAGCAAATTAATTCCCTCAAACTTACTGCAGAGGTTGTTGGAACAGTTCTTTGGGCACTTGGCACATGGTGTTCCTACTTCATAAGGGGAATTTTGTCGAGGCAAAATATTTCCACTGGAATATAAAAGAAGAGATAAGACATTTAAGTCATTTTTGACATTGTTCTCAAATATTTTCTTTTACAATATGTTGCCAAAATGACATTGGCAATTAGTTTTATAGCTCTTTAATTAAAGTTACATCTAAAGTAACCTGATTTTGGCAATGAATATGGGAGCAGACTTGAGGAAAGAGATTGACCTTGATCCCTGCAGGGACTTTTGGGAAAGAGAAAATGAAAGCTGCTAAAAGGGTAAGACACCAGAGGCTCCATCTTTCCAATTCATATGATGTGGCAGCCTTGGGCATGGGTGGGGAAGGGTGTTTTGGGGAGATAGATTTGCCTACATGGAAGCCAGCCTTACTAGCCTCCTTCAACCATGGGGTTGAACTGGCAACTTATTGGTGTAGATATTGGAGAGTGCAAACTAAGCTGTGATATGCAGAGACTAAGTGGCATATTGATGAGTTCAGACTTCTGGGGAAAATTTGAGTGTTTTGCTACCTTCCTCTAGCAGCTAAAGGGATTTAGATCAAAGCCCCTAGTTCTGAAATCAAGCATGGAATAAGTCCCTTTCCCGACTACCATAGGTGTATGTATATATATGTTTGTATCAGGTCATTTGGGTTGACATCTAGATTGGTGGAGATATTCAAATTGATGTAATTGTAGATACATATTTTATGTGTCTGTTACGTATTATGTATTGTATTGTTATGTGTCTATATTGTACTTCCACTTGAGGACAGGGACCTCATCTATTCTAAACTTGGTATCTCTTCTTACCTTTGAACAGTGAGTATTGCACACACTTCATTTATAGTAAATATTTGTTGTAATGAAAAGAATATTTAACAATTGGAAAACAATTTAACAATTGGAAAACAGTCATTTCAAGGAAACACTTCAATCAGGAGTGAGGAACTTGCAGCCTTGAGGCCACATGTGGCCTTCTAGGTCCTTGGATGCAACCTTTTGACTGAGTCTAAGTTTTATTGAACAAACCCTTTTATGAAGGGGATTTCTTCTGTGAAGTTTGGATTCAGTCAAAGGGCTGCACTTGAGGATCTAGAGGGCCACATGATGCCCTCAGGCTGCAGGTTCTCCACCCGACGTAAATAATCAAAAATAAAAAGTGACAACCCCAATTCTTTCAACCAATCCTTATATGGCATGGACTTAAAACCATTCACCATCCTGGTCACCTTCCTTGGGGACAGTTGCCAGGTTGTCAATGTCCTTCCTAAACTATGTTCCTTATAACTGGACAAACTTGCCTAGATATTATCTGTCTGGTCAATCAGTCAACAAATACTTACTAAGGACCTACCATGTATTAAGCACTATGATAAATGCCAGAGATATAAAGAAAGGTTAATACAGTCCCTGTTCTCAATGAGCTCTCAAGGAGTCCAGTGTGGGATGCACTATGCAAACAACTATATGAGAACAGGATATATGCAGCATAAATTGGAAATGATCATCAGAGGAAAGGAAATAACATTAAAGGTGCTTAGTACAGGCTTCCTGTAGAAAGTGGGATTTTAGCTGAGACTTGAAGTAAGCCAAGGCATCCAAGATACAGAGAAGATGGGGCAGAACTTTGCAGTGAAAATGAAATTGTCAGTGAAAATGTCTGGAGTCAGGAGATGAAGTGTTTTATTTGAGGAACAAGGAGTCTAGTGATATGAGAATGCAGAGTATGTAGAGTGGGATGTAAGGTGTAAGAAGACTAGAATAGCGCTGGTGGGAACAAGTTACAAAAGACTTTGAACAATGAACAGAAAATTTTATATTTGACCTTGGAGACAATAGAGACCCACTGAAGTCTATTGAGCAGGTGAATGATATGGTCAGATTTGGACATTAGGAAGATGGCTTTCACAGCTGAGTGTAAGATAAACTGAAGTGTGAAGTGATTGTGGCCAGGAGAACCAACAGCAGGTTATTGCAGTAATTCAGGAATGAGATGATGAGAGCATACACCAGAATGGTGACAATGTTAGAGGAGACTAGTGGATAATACTGAAGTACCTCCTTATTCTTGAAAGTTATGATTTTAATGCAGTCCTAGATTGCATTCACTCTTGGCTGACATACTTATACTTCTGATTTACGTTGAACCTGAAGTCAGCTAACTATCCCCTACTCATTATCTTTTTTAGATATGATCTTTTTATTGTCTAACCCATCTTGTATCATAAAGCTGATTTTTTTTTTCACACAAGTGTATAACTTTACATTTATCCCTATTTACTCTCTGGGTAATAGATTTAGCCTATGAACCATATCCTGTTAATGCATTTTTGGATCCTTAGTCTGTCATTCTGTGGATACCTCTCTCTCTCACCTTTATACCATCTGCACATCTGATGAGCATGCATTATATACCTTCATCCAATTCAAACATAAAAATGATTCACAGGGCATTCCACTGCATATTTCCATGGATGTCAACATTAAACCATTAAATGACTATTTCTTGAGTCCATACATTTCCTAGAGGTTAGTTTAGTAAGACATAAGCCAACCTCTGCAAAAATTCATACTGGCATCATAGAAAGATTTTTTATGCCATTCTGTCTAAAAACTCCCACAAGGTGGGTAATGTGCCTGCATGAACAAGAAAATGATTTCTGACAAACCTCAATTCTCATAGCAGGATACAACATACAGAGGTTTTCACAAACATTTCTATGTTCAAAATATGGCTTAAATTTAACCACCTAGATAGGTATATTAATAGAAAGTTTAGAATGGCAGAAAAAGAATTGGGCTTACATTCAGAAGGCTTGAGCTGTGTCTTATCTCTCATACTTATCAACTATTTTGTCCATGCTAAGGGGTTTTAGAAGCTGTGTATTAAGAATATTAGGGTACACACTGGGGAAAACTATGTCCTTAAACTCCCTAGGTATGTGCAGACCTCCAAAGATGTTATTAATACCTTGATTTTCATATGATTCTGACAACAGATACAACAGCATCATAGAATGCAATAAAAATGCACATAGATTAATAGAGCTAGGAAAAACTTTCAAAATTATCTAACCCGATGCATTCATTTTAGATTTGAGAAAAAAAATCAGAGAGATTAAGTGGTTTATCTGTGGGAATAAAGCTAGCTAAATGGTTAAGACAGGATTTTAATTCCTACCTTCAGACTAAAAATCTAATCATTTTTCTGCCGTGACATACTGTTCTTCTTTTCACATAGCTGGTCCAGCTCTACCTGAAGCTTAATCTCTTTGGACAATTAGAACCTACCTGAACTGATTTTTAATCTTTTATTTAGTATTTTATTTTCCCCCAATAACATGTATAAACAATTTTTAACATTTGTTTTTAAAATTTTGAGTTCCAAATTCTCTTCCTCCCTCTATCCTCACTCCCCTCATTGAGAAGGCAAACAATTTGATATAGGTTATACATGTATAGTCATGCAAAACACATGTCCATATTAGTCATGTTGTAAAAGAAAACATAGACCACTGCTCTCTCCCAGAAAAATAAAGTAAAAAAAGAAAAAGTAGGCATTTAACTGTATTCAGACACCATAAATTCTTTCTCTGAGGATGGATAGCATTTTCATCATACGTCCTTCAGAATTGTCTTAGATCATTGTATTACTGAGAATAGCTAAGTAATTCACAGTTGATCATCTTACAGTACTGTTGTTATTGTGCAGAGTGTTCTCCTGGTTCTACTCATTCCACTTTGCATCAGTTCATGTAAGTCTTGGTTTTTCTTAGAGCATCCTACTCATTAAATCTTACAGCACAATAATATTCCAGTGCAGTCATATGCCATAACTCATTCAGCCATTCCACATTTAATGGGTATCTCCTCAATTTCTAATTCTTTGCCACCAAAAAAGAGCTGTTATACATATTTTTTGTAAATATAGGTCCTTTTCCTTTTTGCTTTTTTATTGCTTTTTTATCTCTTTTGGGATACAGACCTAGTAGCTGCATTGCTTGTTCAAAGAGTATGCATGTTTTTATAGCCTTTTGGGCACTGTTCCTGATTGCTTTACATAATGGTTGAATCAGTTCACAACTCCACCAACAGTACATTAATGTCTTAATTTTCCAACATCCCCTCCAAAATTTGTAATTTTCCTTTTCTATCCTATTAGTTAATCTAATAGGTGTGAGGTGATATTTCAGGGTTGTTTTAATTTGCATTTCTATAATCAATAGTGATTTGGTGCATATTTTCCATGTTTTTGTGGATGGCTTTGATTACTTTATCTGAAAACTGATGGTTCACATCTTTTGATCATTTATCAATTTGGGAACGGCTCTTATTTTTATACATTTGACTCAGTTCTTTATATATTTGAAAAATGAGGCCTATGTCAGAGAAACTTTCTTCAAATTTTTTTTCTGAGTTATGATTGCTAACTGTATTTCTCTCCACCTTATTTTCCCCTGTCTATTCTATTCTCTCTCTTTTCAACTTGTACCTCTGCAAAAGTGCTTTGCTAGGATATGAACAGGTAATTTTCAGACAAAGAAATCAAAGCTATCCATAGTCATATGAAAAAAAAATCTCTAAATCACTATTGATGAGACAAATGCAAATTAAAGCAACTCTGAGGTACTTCCTCACACCTATCAGACTGGCTAATATGACAAAAAGGTAAAATGTTGGATGTTGAAGGGAATGTGGGAAAACTGGGACACTAATTCACTGTTCATGTAGTTGTAAAATGATTCAACCATTCTGGAGAGTAATTTGGAACCATGCCCAAAGGCCTCTAAAACTGTGTGTACCCTTTGATCCAGCAATACCACTGCTAGGACTATATCCCAAGGACATTCCCCCCAAAAAGGGAAACAGAACTGTTTGTACAAAAATATTTATAGGTCCTCTTTTTGTGATAATTAATAATTGGAAATCAAAGGGATGCCCATCAATTGGGAAATAGCTAAACAAGCTATGGAATATGATTATAATAGAATATTAACATGCTGTTAAAAATGACAAGCAGGAAGATTTCAGAAAAAAT